AAAGACTTCTTAAATAAGACACCCCAAAGCACAGTTGATAATCCCTAAAATTGACAAGTGGGATGACATCAGACTAAGAAGTTTCTGTATGGCAAAAGACACAGTAATTAGTGTGAATATACAGCCCTCAGAATGGGAAAATATTTTTATAAATATACATCAGATAAAGGACTGATAACCAGAATTCACAAGGAATTCAAGCAGCTGTTCTGAAAAAAGAGGATCAATCCTATGAAAAGATGAGAGAATGAGTTGAAAAAACCACTCTCTGAGGATGACATACAAATAGCTAAAAAGCATATGAAAAAATGCTTAATATCCCTCATTGTAAGGGAAATGCAGATCAGAACAACAATGATATACTACCTAACCCCAGTCAGAATGACTAAGATTAAGAAAAAAAAAAAAAAGATAAGTGCTGGCGGGGGTGTGTTGAAAGGGGAACTCTCTTATACTGCTGGTGGGGAATGTAAATTGGTCCAACCACTGTGGAGAACAATTTGGAGATTCCTCAAAAACTTACAAATAGAACTACCATATGATCCAGCAATCCCACTCCTTGGTATCTACCCAAAGGACAGAAGAATACTTAATCGGAAAAGTGTTTGCACATAGATGTTTATTGTGGCACTATTCACAATTGCTAAGTCATGGAAACAACCCAAATGTCCACGATCAGATGAAGGGATAGAAAAACTGTGGCATACAGTTTTTAGTATTCAATGGAATACTATTCAGCCATAAAAAAAAAACAACAACAAAACCCTGGCTTTTGACAGGAAGTAGATGAATATGGAACGTTTACTGCTGAGTGAAGCAAGCCAGGCTATGAAGGAGAGGCATCGTATGTCCCCACTTAATATAACTGAGTGTCTGCACTCTATGCTGCAACTAATTGACTAAAGGATATAGAAACACAGTAGATAGATGTAAATACCAGAAATAGTGCGTGTGAAAGAGGAGGGTCTGAGGAAAGACGTTTAGAAGAAAAACAGGGAGGCAAAGCATTAATGGCACAAAGAAATGTGATATTATATGTTGAAGATATTTTGTAGTTTTATCAACTGTACTAGGGAGAAATGTTTACCTGTTGAAATATCCATTTTGTAAGCCATATAATAATGTGATTGAATGTATAAAAGAAAATGATGTTAAAAAATTTTGTCTTAATTTAAAAAAAAAATAAAGGCATCTGTGACTACTGTCAACGGGTCATACAAGTTCAGTGAAATTGATTTATACTGTAACATTTGGTTATTTTTTAGGCCCACTCAGCTATACATACTTGAACTGGAGCAGCAAATAGTGGATAGAAAAATAGTGGTCTGAGTACCCTTTTTGGAATTGTAGTTGTATGTATATATGTGTTTATTTATTTATTAGGAGTTTTGCCAAGGCTGTGTGTGCTTGCCAGAGAGAGAGAAACAGAGAGGGAGGGACGGAAAACGAAAACTTGCCCCCCACAGGGGGTGACCACACCACACTCCCTTTGCCTCCATCCTCCTTTTGGTATTTAGGGAATGCACACACATTCATCTGGTATGAGTTCAAGCTGCTAGGTCTGGAACTCAAACCCTGCTAGGCCATGTGGGAGACTAGTGCCTTAACCACAGTGCCACCTGCTGGCCATGTAGTTGTATTTAGAACCAAGATAAGGTAGAGTTAGATGTGAATAAAGATAATTTCTTTCAACAGGTAAGAAAAGAAAGTTAGAGGCCATGAGAGATAAGCAATACCTTATTCTTAGGCCTTCATGAGGTAGGCATTGGTAGCAGGTGGGACAGGAACAATTGCTGTGATGTTCATGATTTTTGTGTGTCCTGCAGTCTTCTTTGACCATGGTGTACACGTGAGACCCAGGGATTCTTCTGGAAATGAGGTTGTAGCTTCCAGCCTTAAAATTATTCTTCCACTTCTAGGCCCCTAAAAACAACAGTTCTTTTTACCTGAAAACTTGCATATAAGCAATTCCTGTGGTAATTCACTCAAATTGATGCATCTTAAGAGTTTTTCTGTATCTATCTTCTGAGTTGTCCTAGAGTTTCTAGAAATGGAAGACAAGTGCTTAAATGAAAAATCTTTTTTGTTTGTTTGTTTATTTACTTTATTTATAAGAGCAAGATATGTACCCTCAATATACTTTTCATGACCCAATCCACTCTCTGCCCCAGCCAGTCTACTTCACCGGCATGCATGTGTTCCTGACATGTAAAGAGAGGCTCTGGGATATGAACCTGAGACCTTTCCATATGGGTCCAGTTGCATTACCACTGTGCCACTGTCCAGTCCCAAGGATTATTCTTATTGTAGAAAGTTCAGTGGCCTTGGCTAAGCTCATAGATCGAGGAGTTCAAGGCAAGGGGTAAATGGTGATTGTGAGTGGTTTGTGTGGCACCTGCCTACGTATACAATCATCCTTCAGTATCTGCAGGAGATTAGTTCTAGATCTCCCACCCTCATTCCCTCACGGATACCTAAATCCATGAATGCTCAAACCCCTTATAGAAATTGTGTGTAGTATTTGTATATAATCTACACACCTCTTACTGTATATTTAATTCCTCTCTAGATTATTTGTAACACCTAATACAATATGAATGCTATCTAAGTAGTTTGTTATCTAGGGAGTAATGACAAGGAAAAAAGTTTCTATCTATTTAGTACAGGAGAAATAAATAAAAAGTAATAATTTCAATCCTCAGTCAGTTTGACTTTGCGCATGCTGAACTTATTGCTATGGAGGGCTGACTATAACAGTTCATTTAGCTTTGTCTACGAGTGACATTGTTGCACATCTGGCTTGTATTGCACACATCCTCCTTGCTTCAAATTCTAATCTTCATGATTATTTTTAAACCTGGAGGTGAAAACCTAAAAATAAAGCAGTGCCTAGCATGTAGCAAGCCCTTAATTAATTTTATTGAATTATATTGAAAATTGGAATTGTATATAAAAAGCCAGATCACCTTTCATCTGTTGTGGTATCCTCTTATCAAGAGAGAAAAACCTGCCCAGGATTTCCCTGGAAAGATTCCTCAACACCAGAGTGGTCCTGTTCACATTAGATTTCATTTGTGTATATGGTAATAGATATGCAAGGAAGATTAGATACCACCATATGGCTTTTGTACCCTGATATACATTCTCCTCCCTCTTCCAGAATAGCACTGCTCATAAAAACAATTTAGGGGCATCAGTGGTCTTATGAGCTCTGATGTTCAGGTGGAAATTCTCTCTGATGCTCTGGACTTATTTGTAATTTTACCCCCATAGGAGAGCGGTTTCAACCTCACAATTCCTTTGCTCATTTGAAAATACAGTAGCAGAAGGATGGAGAGAGTTTGTGACCCACAACTAAAACCTGTATTCTCTTGTCACTTCGTCAAATTAGTTCCAGTGGCATTTGGTTTCCCTTGGAAATAAATCACTGTTAAGTGATTCTTTATAAAGCAGTCCACACATTTATCACACCACAGTGATCCAAACCCATTCAGAGAGTTTTAAGGTTCAGTTGGCCATGTGGCTGGCCTAGCAACTGTGCCCTTGTCACATTGCATCTGTCTCCACTCCCCGTGCCACCATTAATCCTTCAGAGCAGAGACTCCATGCTTTGCCATTCAGAGGCATAAAATATCATATAAAATGTAATAAAGTGGCAAGGTGAGACTGAGTTTCTTTTCTTTCCTTTTTTTTTTTTTTAAAGTTTGAGCCACAGGGTGTGTGTACTCACCAAAGACAGACAGACAGAGAAAGTGAGAAAACATCCAATTGCCTCCTGGGAGATGGCCACACCATAATTCCTTGGGATTTGGGACATGCACACATACATGCCTGGTATAATTTTCAAGCCACTGGGTCCAGGACTCAAACCACAGTTGACTATGTGGGAGTCCAGTGCCTTAACCAACATGGCACCTGCTGGCCTCAATATAGAGCTTGTAATGTATATTTTCAAGTTAACAGAGTGATCAGGTGGCTAAGAATAGACGGGTGTAGTTGGGGAAAAATCAGGAATAATGATAAAATATCCTGAAAACTTTAGCTTTTGTGATTCATTTGCCTCAGAGTTAATTTAATTGTTATGAATTACTGAAAGTAACAATTGTTTTTTGGTACAAATGAATCACGTCAACCAGTAAACTTAAGATGCATTTTTTTTTTTTTGAGAGGTTTTTGCTACGGGGCACGTGCGCTCGCCAGATAGACAGAGAGAGACATAGAGACAGAAAGAGAGAAATCACCCCCCAGGGGGGATGGTCACGCTGCAATCCCTTCTCCTTCATTCTCCTCTCAGGATCTTGGGCACGCATGCACATGCGCCTGGCGTGAGTTTTAAGCCACCAGGTCTGGGATGCGAACCATGGTTGACTACGTGGGAGTCCAGTGACATAGCCATTACGCTAACTGCTGGTTCCCTTAAGATGCAATTTTAATCACATTTGTTCAACATTTTCTAGGAGCTTGGCATTCTTGCTCTGCACTTTATATATAGTTTCTCCTTGTCTGCTTTATAAAATAGAGTATTATTATCATTCTCACTTTTTATGTGAGAATTTTACAGTTTGGAAAGTTTAAATGATTTAACCAAGGGCATTAGGTTAATGTGGTAGGCTAGAGCACAACCTAGGATTCTGTAATTACTACAGTAAAGAATAATCTTTATTATTATTATTTTATTTATTTATTATTTTTGGAGAGGTTTTTTTATTTTTATATTTTTTCGCTATAGGGCGCGCACGCTCGCCAGACAGACAAAGAGAGACATAGAGACAGAAAGCAAGAAATCACCCCCCCCCAGGTGGGATGGTCATGCTGCAATCCCTTCTCTTCCATTCTCCCCTCGGGATCTTGGGCATGCACTCACACGTGCCCAGCGTGAGTTTTAAGCCACTGGGTCCAGGATGCAAACCGTGGTCGACTACATGGGAGTCCAGTGACATAGCCATTACGCTAACTGCTGGTTCCCTAATCTTTATTATTTTTTAAAAATGAAGTTTTGGCATTTTTTTTTCTTTTTGATACTTTTATTTGGGAATTTGTAATTAATCATTTAAAAAAGGTAGTTACAAATATTAAGAAGTAATTTTTAAAATAAAACTAAAATTGGGGTCCAGCAGTTAGCGTAATGGCTATGTCCTGGACTCCCATGTAGTTGACTGCGGTTCACATCTCAGACCCGGTGGCTTAAAATGCATGCCGGGCACGTGTGCGTGTGTGCCCAAGATC